TCTTTTCTATTTTTCTTTTTCTTTCTTTCTTGCACTTTTAGCTCTCTTTGATTTCTTTCTTTTTCTTTTTTCTTCTTACTTTAATATTAATTTGTATCAGTTTTGCCTTTTTTAAAACTTTTAATAAAATTAAATATAAAGAAAGTACAATAATCGAATGCTTGCAACCAAATTTTGAGAAATCAGAAAACATTATTTGTAAGAACAGTTTGGCAGACTAATGTAATTGGCTATATATATAAAAAGGAAAGATGCAATCTACCTATCTGTCAGACTAGAACCTCTTAAACTACTGATTCAACATTCATAGCTCACAACTCTTCCTCTAGCCCTCCCAAATCTCCTCTGCTCACTTTTCCTAAAAAAAAAAAAAAAGAACATTCCCAATATTTCAGTCAATTGTTGCAGGAAAAAACCCTTGACAATCACAAGAACTCCTATCATATTGTGCAGCAAGCACACCATTCTAGATTTTTTGTAATGATTTTACTAGGGTTGGACCACCAGACACAGATCTCCATAGAGAGAATCCCTGATACAGTCCTACACATTAAAAAAAAAAAGTCTGAAAAGATACTGTTCTGTGGTAAAATGGGGGGTGGGGTAGGAAGAGAAAGAAAACATACCAACAGGGAGAAACTGAGGGGACAGAAACTGATGAATAAAATGCCCATTGTATAGAACATAATGTAAAAGTGCCTTTGCACCTAAAGTCACTTCCTCATGAGACAGGCGGTGTCCAAATTTGAAATATAAATAAATAAAAATAAATAAAGAGCCTGACACATTTTTGTTAAATAAAAAACAATTTAAAAGCTTAGTGTTGCTGTCAGTATTTCCAATTTGGAAATCATGACAATCATAAAGATTAACTCAATTTATCTCTTGTTGCTTCATATTATATTTTATAGCAAATATCTTACTGACCTGGAGGCTGAAGTTAATGTCTAGTCTACCTATCCCCCCCCAAAAAAATTCTATTTCTATTGCCTCTTAAATAACACTGAGACACCACCTTCAACATTAAGCAAAGATATATCAATGGAAAGACAACATGAAACAAAATATTCCCCTAAAACAAACAATTCTAGTAATTAAGGATTTTCACTGCATCTTTGTTAATAAGTAATGAAGCTAATCAGCAGAAAGCACTGCTCAAACATTTTAAAACCTGTTTTCTGAATTCTGCAAGGAATTGCTGTTTGCTTACTTATGAATTTCGCTTCTGTGCCCTTCGGCACTCAGAAATTTATAAAAAATACATTATACACTAATTCTTTAAATTCATATTTATATGAAGTACAGATATAATCACTTACCATTTTCAGATCCTTTTCTAGATACATTACAATGCAACTATGAAATGATCAAAACAATATTCAGTATCAAAACACCATCTAGAAACAGACTATAATGCATTCCTAATAATTTGGAGAAAGGAAAAAACAAGCACAATAATACAATTGCCCTATATAAAATTACAGTTTTGCACACTACTACTAGACTAAGCATAAACGTGCATGAAACAATGACACCAATGCTAAGCACTCACATAAGGAGAGTAGAGCTCCCCTGTATCAGTAATGGTTCCAGCCATATTGAAAATAATTTAAGGACTTGAGATAGATATGTCGTCAGTCACTTCTGATCCAGCCACTGTTAACCTGAAAAACACAAAACAGTTATTTTACTTTTTTACAGTTATTTTATTGTTACTTGTAAGCAATATTAAGAATTGAATCCACTGCTATACATAACAATTTTTACTGAGCTAAAGAAAGTATCAAAGACTTCAAAGTTAACCATCATGACTTTAACCAATGCATAAATCATTGATTTCCATGCCATTGTTTTATTAGATAACTCTATCTAAGATCTTCTGTGTTTGAAATTGGATTACTATAAGTAAAAGGCACTTTTCCCCTTAATTGAAGGGGAAGTTCCTAATTGGGTCTGTATCATAGGGCAGCATTTAGATTATTCCAGAGGAAAGCTGATTATGAGATCGTAGTGATATATGTAATTACTTCCTAATGGAAATTGCCATCAAGTAAAGAGAATACAGCATATCAGTTGCAAATAAAGTCAGTCAGTCAAGCAGGAAGTTGCAAGAAACCTGATGGACAAAATATTTTCTACAAAAGGAAATAAATTGACTAGATTTATATCCCACCTTTCTGTTAACCAACAAAGCACAAACCTGAATAAGAAAAAAAAATACCCACAGATATAACTTCTTAATTGGGCTGTTGCAAGATTCAGCATATTAACCCTCAATATTTCTGACCAAAGACAGAAAAGATTTCAAATAATAAACACCAAAGATTTTAATGCAAAGTACTGTTTTCCTTGCCAGATTCTTCTGGAATGACCTTCAGCAGAAAATATCTCCCAGAAAAATTTTTGCTCAAATGCACAAAGTTTAAAAACTTCCATTCAAAACTTCTCAGAAATCAAACTGAAGTCAAGTCATCCATCTTTTTGCTAAAAGAAACCGAGAGCAAGCTGATAAATAGACACAGCTCATATGGGATACAACCAGATTTTTTAAAAAATGTCTAATGCTTATTCCGACAAATACCCAATTTTACACATTTCATAATGAAAGTGACTCTTTCAGCCAGCCCCCCCCCCAAAAAACTTGGCAAAATCCTTCTCATTTTGAAGAGTAGGATAAGAAATATTTAATTGTTCCAAGTCTGAAATCTATTATATTTTCCAACTTATAGCAAAGATTACTTAACACCATTAAAGGTACTAAGATCCCATTACCATTCTCATTCAAATTACTGATTTTTCATCATTATTAAAACAAATTTATCAATGACGGTGACATTTCAATAATAACTGAGTACAATTAAGAATAAATGAGAACGAATGAATATTCAGCTTAGAGAGGAGCAGGAGTGGTATGTCAGAGGAAAGTTGGCCAATGGTAACACTAGCCATCTAATTTTGTTTTTATCCCATTTTTTTTCTTTGCAATGATACTAATGCCAAAGTACTGCTATAAGATTCTTAAAGCTTTAATAATAAACCAGGATTATTTTTCACCTTTATTCAAGTAGCTTACATGCTACTTCATCTCTTGGAGAAAAAAATGTGTTGCCTCTCCAATATTCTTTCTATCCACCTCTATCACGCACTAAGTAAATAGAGCTATCATTCTGGATAAGAAAAGGTAGATTTAGAGACAGAATGGCATCAGAAGCCTGTGTTTAAGTTTAGATTCAGCTTTATCCCATACAGAAATATGATAAAATAGATTCTCTGACTATGGCCCATTCTCAGCTCAGTCACACAGCATGGAGAACAATGGTATTTCTTGTGCCAGGCAATAAATTAGATAAAATATATACAGTACTGTGCAAGGTTTTAGGCAGGTATTAAAAAAGTGCTGTAAAGTAAGAATGCTTT